CAGTTTCCTTAATAGCTCTGCAATTCTGGAAATATAAGCTTTTAGAAATAGGTAGCTCGGGATTATTTACTTTACTAAAATAATAGATGCGCGGTAATTTAATTTGTGCAATCCTTTTAACGGTCCTTTCCTAATAGGAGATGAAATGAAATCAGAGCGAAATTATGTATTGTTTTGATAATCTACGCGAGCTATCTTTTACTGTGGAAACAGAGAATATATAACGTCTCCCTTCTCGTTTTATTCGAATCGTTTCGTTATCGTCGTCAAACGTAGTTGCGCCTCTCGCTCTGGCATTTTCATCAGGCCAACCTAACCCTTTGGGTGCGCTTCCTCTACCCTCGGGACGATTATCGCCGGGATTCATGCAGATGTCTCTTCCTCCTTCATCTCTCTTTCGTACATAGAAAGAATGATTTTATTGAAGTATATCTAAAAATTTAGCTAAACGTAAGATCCGAAAGTAATTTTGTTGCACTATCAAATAATTGTGTAGAAAATTTTTGCAGCATTGCTTATCATGCTTGAATTTCCTACGTAATTATTTTTATGATATTACAAAATTATTTTCAAAAAAAATCTTTATGTCTCTCTCTTGCTAAATTTTTAGATATTTCAATAAAATTGTTCTTTATGTGTTCTCACGGTTTTCCGTCGAAGACAGGATGCTGTGGCAATTACTACCCGATAGACAGCTAGAGACTTTCAGACAGCACAGAATATTCATGATAAGTATTTAGTATTATTCACTTTGAAATGCCTATATAAATATGTTACACATATCTATTTTATACTATATAAAGCTTTATTTAAAGTATATTATTAAAATATAGATTAAATATTTTATATAATATTTATGATAAATACAAATAAATAATATGTATAAATATATATAAATAAATATTATAGTATTTCTGGTAAGTATTTTTTACTTGGATTATAATGTCTTATTAAGTATCTTCAAAGCTATTACTACAATGTTTCATAATAATTACTTATAATAAATATTTATGATTTGTAAATATTTATATTTATTATGTGCTGTCTGGGCTACGAATATTTTTCCTAAAACAGAGTCCTTCCGCAGAATTCATTTCTCACATTTCATTTCTGATGTTCATCGAGCCAGCTGTATGTTACAAATGAGGCAACACTTTCTCTTTATTTATATCTTTCGAGTTAATTTACATTTTGTGTGCCGTGAATTTTCGTTAATTAGACAGATTGACGAGTTTAATGAAAATGTAATATAGTAGCGTTATTGCATTCGATATCGCGAGCGTATAGCTCTATGTTATAGGAATTAAAACTAGAAAGTCCCATCTATCTTTACGATTAAATTGTCGCTGATATCCCCTCTATACACGACTTCAATTTAGCCGTAATAACGGCGGCACTTCCTATGAAAGCTCTAGCGTGTTCTCAAAGCGCATTGAGCGTACCAAGCACGCAGCGCTGCTTAGTCGAATTGAATCGGGATATAGGCTCGTATTCGTCGTAATGCATTAATTCGGTTTTCTTCTTGAAAATCAGAAAAAAGGAAGAAACCAATGAGAGACGGTGACTTTCCTCTATTATATCTATATACCACGGCGATTGCGCTTATTGCTAAAAGGCACCCCACGGAAAATAGCATTCGCCAATTTAGGCGTCGGGCGCTGTTTTCTTCGTCGAGCCACGATATGCGATTTTCATATAGGAGAGACTCTCCCTCGTTTACGTTAACTCGACATCACGACAGCCGTCCTTTTCCGTATACTCGCCAGGCGATATCTAGATATCTACCGTCATCGGACGTTTCGTCCTATTCAACCATTCCCATGATCGAGGCAAACACGCTTCTCCTTTATTTTTTCATTACGGGTTGCCCAATTTTATAGAAGCGGTTGCTATCGATGTATATCGAGCTACGATATCGCTCTCGCGATTACGGAAGCTTATGCGTATTACGCGAATGCAGGATTGGAGCCGCGTCTATTTTTGTCCTTGCTCACTTGGTTGAATTTTTCTTGCGAGGTTTCTACGTTAATAAAGGCGCGAGCGAGAAAAAAAAAATGCGAAGAGAGGCGATACTTGGCCACCTATTATCTGCATCTTTCTCGAGAGCGAAGTCAAAGAAGAATCGCTAATATACACATCTCCGTATATATATATATATATATATGATATTTTTGAGAACCTGATCGAGAGAGGAGCAGAGCTCTGTTTTTCCGCCGCGCACGAATGCGATGACATAATACCGGCCGCCATAAGAGTGCCGAATTACGACGCTGGCAAACGCACGCGCGCATCCGTGCACACGCCCGTATTGCAGCAACGTACGTATACCGCGTGCGTGCGCAACGCTGGGATCCGCGTGCATGTGTGCGTGGCTGAGGCGCGCGTGCGGCCCCGCGGCGACCTTGAGCCTCCCTCTACACCGTGCGTTTTGCCACCACGCGATCCCCACCTATTCCACCGCGATGCGTATATCTCCCTTCTCTTTTTCGGCCTCCTCCTCCTCCTCCTCCCTCTCCTCCTTCTTTACCTCCTCCTGCATCTCTCGCCGCACTCCTCCTTTCGCGCGGTTCCGGAGCCACGCAACTCTCGAGGCGCCTCCAACGCCTAAATTTCCCCTCCGCGCCTTCACTTTTCGTACCACGCTGCTGATGGTAGTTCCAGCGATGAGCATCGATCGCGCTGCTCCACCGATTTTTGATTCGAATTGGAGCACGGTGTATACCATCCATATATCACTATATGAAGCTTATATTCTCGTCTGCCGAAAGAAATAAAATAATTTCGAGATGACAAGCTGGACAATATGTCAAATTTCACTTGCAAATCGCCTTCCAGACATCTGCGAGCAAATGCGCTTATCAAGGCTGTGTCGCTGCATACTCTCAACGATTCTTTAATCTTTTTACAATGCATGATGATGTATACGTGACGTTTTACTTCCGCGATGCGGCCCTGGTATATACGTTGGATGAGAAGTGGGGACGCGCGATACCTTAGAAGTGTTAGGGAACGGGGAGGGAGAGGATAATGTTCGAAAATGAGACGGAACGAGATAGAACGTCGTAGCGCGCGCGCAAGAGAGAGAGAGAGAGAGAGAGAGAGAGAGAGAGGAGGAAAAAAACAGGAGGGGAAGAGTGCGGAGAACCGCGAGAGTCGAAACTTGTAGCCGCAAGCGATCCCTACCCCTCTGCCGAATCGTCAATCCCCCGCCCTTGACCACCCACCCGGCGGCTCCCATGGTGGTTCCGTGTTTTGCCCGAAAACCCCCTACACGCTTTATTCCGTGTAACCGCATTTGCATCGCCACCGATGACCCATATTCACATTCTTCTATACCAGCGGTCCCTCTCTCTCTGCCTAATCCGTTCCTGGCCTCTCACGGTACCGCGCTACCGCCTCCTCCTCGTTCCCTCTCGCTCGCGCCCGCGATTTTTCGGCTCCCGCGCATCGGTGGACCCTCCCGCACGGCGACCGCGCGTACCCGGGCCCGGCGAACGACGACAGTCACGCGCGATTCGTTCATATGCCGATGCGCGATGCAAGCCGGTGACTCGATTTCGGCCGGCGAGTGCGTGTAGTCAGTCGTCTATTTAGTGCTCACGCAACCGATGCGTCATTGGTCCCGGACACAGAACGGGATCGGGCGGGGAATTTCACTCGAGATTTCTATTTTCACGCACTCTTGGTGATACTGAAAAATCGATCGGTGTGATACAACGCATTGTGATCGTGGACACGCGCGAATTACACGGAGGACACGTGCGCATGCTGCTGTAACTCCTTTTATTCCTTCCGGTATAGTGTCCCGTCCGGGACGCGAAACAGAGACTAAGGTGCCGCTTGTTGTCGCCGGTTGTCGTTGTTGACGACGGATTACGCCGTGGAAACCTGTGAATGAAACTGGAACGTCCGTTCCGCTCGTACTCGTTGACACGCCCCTGCCGTCGCTAAGCTCTCCTCTTCTCGCTCGGCGTTTTATCGCGGGCATCGCGGAAATGCGGTGGAATTTTGACATGGCGCGGCTTGCATCGTGCGATCGCGGTTCGTGATTGCCGGTAGGCAAGGCACACTCCGTGTGCGACGACGAAACGCATCGCGAGAAACAACGATTACTGGCGCAGCACACGTCCGATAATTTCTCTGTCACGATAAACATATTACGTACGGAGCCAGTGAATCGAAAGAGGTACGTCGTGTTTGTGAGGTATCTCGAAGTTATCAACATCCAACATTCAATACAGGTGACAGTAATGCGTCGCAACAGCCATGCAATCTGTAAACTTTCATCGCGTGTTCATTCACGGATCGAGATTTCGAATGTATTCTCTAATTTGAATTGCACAATAGCGAATATAAATGTCTTCTTCGTATTTATTGGCTTGTGAAACTTACTGATCATTTTATTAAATTTCTAATCACAAATTATATTATTTGCAAAACTTAATTTAATTACTGTTCTGCAAATATATTTTCTACGTATGTGTGTGCGCGCGCGCGTGTATACACACGCTTCTCGACGAGAGAAAAACAGATAAATATTATTATTTATTAAACGTTCTAGATTTGAGGAGTCTCTCAAGTACTAAAAAGCAATACATCATTGAGTAACAGAATAAGAGAAATTGAAATCAAATACATAAAATAAAGGTACAAAATAAAGATGAAAATAAAGTAAAAATAGCAAAAGATAAAAATTGAGAGACAGAATATCCTGAAAAGATTGACTAAATCTTAATACGTATTTCTTTGAATAGCACTAAAGTAAACATTTACTTGCAATAAACAAATACTTATTCGATGAGAAAAAACGATAGTTGAAGCTAAAATTAATGGTTTTTATTTAAATATTTACTTACAACCATTCCAGCAAAATATATATTTATTAAAATTTAGTTTTTTTCAGTACAACTTTAATAGCATACGCAAAGATAATGTATGACTCTGAAAATAACGAGAGAGAGGGAGAGATCAGTCGATAATCGAGTTTACTTTCTGCGTAGCTGGACGAGCAATTGGGCACGAGCGCGGTCAAGAAGGTAAATATCCAGTGGAAGGTGGCTGCAAAAGAAGCGGTGAAGGTCAAGGAGTTAAGCCTAAGGGTGGCATCATGGACTCTCATCAGCAGCAGTTTTGCCTCAAGTGGAACAGTTTCGGCAGCAATTTAGCAACGACGTTCTCGAATTTATTCAAAAGCGAGAGTCTCACCGATGTCACCCTGTTCTGCGAGGGTAAGTTTCTTCACATGTGAAAACACATTATCTTATTCCTTCTCACAATCTACGCGTATTTCGCGATGTGTACGCGACGAACGAATTTTTCTGTCGAAATAATTCTTCGGTATATGACTCGATAATAAAAGAAGTTTGTTTCGAGAAGTTAATTGGATGTATAGTACCGTAAAATAGGATAATTTTGGTTCGCGATTATTGTGACTACAATAGTTTAATAATAATTTTAATATTATTTTGATGTCAAAACGCCTTTTAAGACGTTTTCTGTTCTGATTTTAGACATGCGTGTTGTCTCATTATATTTTAATATTTTGGTTAAATTATTTTGATTGAGGCAAAGTCATGGTAACCGAATTTTATGGTAAAACGATCGTTGAATATTTCGAAGAATTGTTAAACGTAACGCGATATTCTGAGTAAAATATTGAAGAATTCGACCGTCTATTCCAAGGCCTTGACTCCTTGGTCTCGCTTATGCAAGTAGAAGGCCGACGCGCAAAAAGAAACAACATCGTCGAATTGCATTCACTTGTGCGAATAGCGTCGCTTGCGCTGCATTTACCGAACGAATCGAGTCGAATTTACAATATCTAAGCGATGAGAAAGTTTCATGCTTTCTCGCGTGAACATAGGACAATTTCGGGCTTTCACTTTTTCGACGTCACCTTCAAACGAGCACTTGAAGGTTCCAATTCCGTTATTCGTTCGATAGCCGCTTTTGGGTCGCGCGTGGTCGGACATGTTGACGCGTTGCAATTAATGCAGCACCGGACTTGTAATCAGCGGCCATCCATCCAATCAGATATAAATTAATTTGATATTTAATTATTTCTCAATGTAAATGTCACGTTTTATATAAAAACGGTAATCAAACGCGGCGACGAGTTCTTATGTCATAATGTCGCAAATTTAAAATTGTCATATGCATAAATAAAAAGAGGCAGGCTAAGTCATTCTTAACTCGTTTTCTAACGGTTCGTCTGCCGCGCCGCAACGATTGTTGAATATGAATCAGCTCTTTCTTTCTTTCGGAATTTTTAGAAATTTTGTAAATACTCGCAATAATTATACACAGAAAGAAAAGTGACGTTTCGTATGTCAACCAAAGTTTTGTTGATACGTAATTAACAAAAATTTTCTTATTTTTTCATTAAACAATTCTATTTTTTAGTTATTCTAACCAAATTTTGATTAAGACAACACAATTTGTAAATTAAAGTGTGTACGTACAAAATGGTTAAATTTCTTTCAGTGTACAGTGATCAACAAAAAACATTTAAAAATGAAGATTCTGTTGCTAAAATTAGAGAAGAGAACAAAAGAAGAGAAGTAAATACTCGGATGATTTATGTGAAAATTGATTCATGTGAGAAAAAATACTATATATTCACGGGAAAAGAAAATTGGTAAAAATTATTTGGCATAACGAAAGAATCCTTTAATAACCGCGGATCTAAATTAACCTAATTGCGATTTAAGATAAATTTGACTTTCTACGAGGAAAGGTTGTCACCATAAAAATAAAATTACTCGTAACGAATTATATTCATAAAAAGTTATAAAAAGCTCAATTCCACGTGCAAATTCAAATTAACTGGAAAAGAAAGACTGTCAAATGGGTGAAGTAAAAAAATGCGACAGCCTCGATTCTAGTGTTAAAAGGTTCGTAAGAAAAAAGCCAATGAAGAATTTTACACCGCCCGTTTCGCGCTTCATAAATCGCGTCCGAGCAAACGCGAGTCGCGACTCCTTGCGCGAAAGGGCCAGCTGGCGGCGCGTTGCATTCGCACGTTACCACTTCAAGTGGTACAAGTTCGCGACTGCATAGGAAGTGCAGGGGGTAAACGATTGGACCGACTCCCTACCCTCGATGGCCATCCAATCGGCAGCGCGCACAGTCAGTCGGTATGCATGTGCGAGTCTCGCTCCTTGCACATCGTCGTGTACGACGAATGCAGCGTATACACATGCACGTGCACACGCGAATTTCCGTGTGCGCCTTCCCCACCGACGCAGCGAATGCAGCGGGTGCTCTTGCGGTCCGTTCGCGTGAAACCGCAGTTCGCACCGAGCAGCGGTGCAACGCGCTCGTTTTAGGATTGTGATCTTGCGGGTTTGTCAATCGTGTGAGTAAACGATCGATATTTTCAACGAGTGATTGGTATCGTGATCTTTTGCGGAAATCGCAATAAATATGACTACTTCGATTGGACGCATAGAGCTGCACTTATCATAAAAGTCGAAATCCAATTGGAATTATTTCGTTTCTCTAGAAAATGCGCGCAGTAAAAATCTAGGAAAAATAATTGAATATAATTCCGGAATCCATTTCGAATAATTCCATAATACGTACTCTGGTCCATTTACTTAACAACATAATAAGTGTATTGAGAATTTCACAGTTTAACCGGGGTTTCTGTATTTATACGTAATAAACACACATCTTTACGTCAATTTGTGCACGACTTTAAGCATGCAGCAGTGCGCGCTGAGTTCAATCGAATTCGATAATAGTCTCATCGCCTAGAGTGCGATAAACGAGATACGTAGTCGATGATGCCTTTAAAAGTGTAAACAAATCGTAGAAATCGCGCGATCGACGTCGAGAAACTTTTCCCCAGCTCGAAGTGACGTAAACAAGCATTGTTGCAATCCGTACAATTACATTCGTGTGCACGTATTACGGTGAATACGGGTGAATCGAAGTTGCGCGACGTCAATAAAATTCGAGAACTTATCAGTGGAAGTGCGCGATAACGCGCGTGTATCTTTAAAGCTGAATATCACAATATGCGTGAAACTAGATATCAGCTACCTTATCGTTCGCGCTGAATAAACAAGAATGTGCAACTTTCGCAAACGTTCTTACATTCCCCGCTTTTTCGACGCGCTCGACTAATGCAGGACGTGACGCGATAACGTGCGTGCATGTATATTTGAAGATTCTTCAGTACAGTGCTTTCTCTATGTGCGCGGCGCGTGAAGTCGAGTTCCGATCGATCGACTAATCTTTATACGAGGACCGTAGAATTGAACGAGTTAATTGACCAGTTGGCTCACCACTTGTCGAGTCTTTTTTTACCATTACGAATATCTTCGTAGTTATTCAATGATTGGTAAAGCTGAAGCGTCATCTTCTCGACATTCTGGTTATCATCGAACTTTCAAATGCAATTTCGACGACCGTGTTGTTTAGACTTTAGGAGATTTAATAACATTAAAATGTAAGTAATAACCATTCATCAGAAATACGCTTATCTTCGTTAGTGTGTTATTAGATTTCCTAAACTTGTGCATAAAAGGACAGAATTTTATTAAGAAATTTGATCTATTATTCTTATATCGCGCGTCACTTATTTACATCAGCCATTCATCTTAATTGATAAAGATAAACGGTCTTAATGGAGCACGTGCAGTACATAATCGGCAAAACATCCAACGAGCTAAACATTTCGTCGAGTAAACACTAATTTATCACGTACACTGGTTTCGTATCTATCTAACATACAAACCGGATAAGTATTGCCGCATAAAAGCGATAATATTATTATCTCTTGCAGTTAGGTCATAAATATACAAACTTATAACGAGGCCAATCAAGAAGTACATAAATTACCTTCTTATAATTTTCGTACTTTCAATTGTTGCAATTCGTGTTGTGTTGTAAAACTAGTATTTGTCAAAATAATGATTATATCAAGCAAAATTTATATTAAAGGAGTAAAATTGCGGTAATTTTCAGAATTTTTTTGTTTTGCATTCGCCGCTCCTTTTTCTTTCTCGTTGAACTATTTTTTTCTTAACAGAAGGCGAAGGAACAATCAAAGTTTGAAAAAATCGTACCAAGTTAAAGTTCATGGATATCGATTCGCGATAACCCTCAATGGCCGCCCTCCGCTTTTAGGGCCGCACTTCCAAGACTCTCCTTACGTTTCGACGTTGATATATTAATTCCACCGCGTGTGCAACTGGCATACTGTCGCCGCCTGGAGACGACCCGTTATCCAATCCTCGTCTAACGCTTTCACCTTATGAACCGGGTGCGCGTCCTGATTTACGAAAACCGCAACAGCGCGTACGGAGAAAGCAAAGTCGGACAGGGAGGGAACGCATCTGAAATTGATGTGAGAGCAGTCCCTTCGATCTTCAAATATCTTCACGAAAAGAACGATTTTGTTAAGATATTTAAAAATTTAACTAGCCTTTGATATAAGCATACCCAGCTTTTTCTAGTGCTTTCCCACAATCCTTTCTCCATCGTTTATATAACTTTTTTTTTTAATAAAGATATAAACAACTTTTTGCTTGGTACTGTTACGTTTTTCAATGTTTGACACTTCAATTGGAAAGAATTTAATTTTACAATATGTTAATTTTTATATGAAAGTTATAAGTGATTGAATTGGATGGGTATACAACACAATATCATATACATATACTATACTGCAGCACGTTATTCCCGTAGTGTGGCGTTTAAGAGTTAAATACAGATTTGAAAATAATTTTATTGAATCATCGAAATATATAATTATGCAGGACGCTCAAGCATAATGAGCAACATCTACAGCAAAATGTTTTAATATTCTAGCAATTAGCTTGGTCGTCCTACATAATTATTTTAATCTAATAAAATTATTTTTAGATCCACGTATCTGGTTCCATTTTTTAATATTTTAACAAAACTGTTCTTTTCGTGAGGTAAACTATTCTCATTCTTCATACGAAAGGATTAACAATTGAGTTCCTGTATTCAACACAGTTTTCAAATGTCGCTGAATCGTGTAATATATGAAACTGTAAGATTCTTTCCCAAAAGGCGAAAGGGTGGAAATTTAAAAGGAAGCCCGGTAAGTGGGAAGGGTTCAAGGACGAGAGGCAGTTGAAGATAGGGAAAGGAGTAATGCGTCAAATCGTGGCGTTGCGAAGAAGCGCGTTGGGCAACTACCGAGCGGTACCGACTTTTGTAGGCGCACGCGCACGCCTGAGTTAGTGTGTGC